TCCTCATCATTGATAAACGCTTCCATGTCGACGTACTTCACCTTCCGCTCTTTGTCTTTCTTCGATCTTCTAGGACACGAAGAAATGAACTTCACGTCGTTGGCAAATGTCACATTGCGCTTTATCAATTTTCGGGTTGACGTAGTCGTTCCCGAGGATTCGTCATCTGTTGAACAATCCGAATCAGCGTCGCTGTCAACGGATGGACAATCTGACTCCTCCTCATCTTGCTTTGAAGATCGTTTCCATATAGCCGGAGCTGATGGATTCCACCTTCGACACAATCTGATGGCGGGTGCAGCAGGGAGTTCCTTGGCCTTGGCATTCGGCTTCGCTGGAGCTGCCTTTGCTTCGGATTTGGCTTTAGCTTTTGCCTTTGGTTCCGGAGCTGGGGTAGCTGCTCCCTCATGCTTGAAAGGACAATTCTCTCTTGAGCACGAGCCTGTGTTCTTGAACGAGTAGCATATCCTATTTCCTCCTCCAGATGACTTGGAGTTCTCGTCCTCCGTCGTGAAAAGGCCTCTGGAGTCCGTCTTCGATGACCTGAAATGGTACACTTATCGCATTTCGACACCCTGCAATCTGTAAAATGGAAACTTGCGCGGAGTTTTGCTTCTTGCTTTTGTCACCTCTTGTTGTCTCGCTGACCTCACTTCCTCGTCTTCTCTTGGCTTGGGCTTGTCTTCGTCATGGAACTCTTCGCTTTTGCTTTGAGGTAGTACAGTGTTGCTTTTAATCAATCCGCTTGGTCGGCAAAGCCTGTACCTTGTCGATGAAGCTGCGTCGCGTAGGTTTTCTCGGGTACCTTGGCCGTTGCAAGCAGCCAATCCTTGCCCTCCAGGCAATCGGCGAAGCCATCTGATTCTGAGTGGATTTGGATTGTTTTCTCGTCCTCCGCCGATTATAGTATAAATCGATGATCTTCATCAGGTTGTCGTACGATCGGTCTTCATGATTGTAGGGCAAGTGTTCGTAATGCATGCCCAACTCCATCTTCATTGCGGGCGAGTCCTTGATCTTGCTGTACAAGCAATCACGGAGAGCTGTTTTTGATGGAATGTCCTCTGGTCTCATCCGTCCCAGAACTTCCAACCACGTCTGCTTGAACGTATGAAGCTTGTTGTCGCCTTGGTACTGGAGCTTCACCAAATACTCAAGAGTGATGATCATGTCAAGACGATCATGCGTTCGAAAACTTTCATACATCATCGCAATGACTTGTCGCCCTTTGATGATCTTCACGTCAGGCCTGCTGATGTAATCGTTGGCCTTCCGGTTCACCTCAAGGTACAGGTCAGCTGATTTGTCACCACCGGCGCGTAGCATTGCAACCATGGCGATCCCCAATTTGACGTCTATGCTCTTGAACTTCTTGTGTCCTGAATCATTCAATGCTTCGACATCAGGGAATGGGTTGAACGCTGGTGCCAGCCATAACATCCAGTCCTCATGATGTGGGTCGGCTGATGCTCCTAAGACATTGGCCGTGCACACGGATCGCCAGTTGTTGAGATTAGTGAGAGTAGGCCATGGAGGAACGGTCACTTTGTCGGCTTCCCTCCTGGAAATTCTCACCTCTGTGACTTCAGGATCCGCGTCTCCATCAGGATCACGCGCATGCGAGACAGGATCCGATTCAGGTTTGCCTCCACCGCTTTTCTTCTTGTCATCATCATCATCAGGCGGATCTGGAGGATCATACCCCGTGCCGGTTCCTTCATCATGCTCGTCCTCTCCGTTCTCGTCGCCAGCTTCATCACCGTCATCGTCTCCATGGTTTTCCTGAATCGTTTCAGCGAATAATCTCCACTCATCACGATCAGCTCTGAGACGTTGTTCGGCCTTCTGAGCCTTGAGTACTTCACTTCGCAGATCAGCAATCTTCTCCTCGTACTGTTCCGCGATCTCTTTCTCGATCTGACGTCTTCTTGCTTCATGAATGGAATCGTCATAGGCAATAGGGGGACCGATGAGGTCGTTGCCCTTCGTAGATGCGGTAACACCGTCGATGCCAACAGGTCTTGAGGAGCTGGCCGATGCTGTGGACTTCGATCCCAACATCCCGCGATCCCCCAAGAGTTCGCGTAGCTGTCGATCACGCACGGCTGCCGCATCACTTTTCCCATGAAATCCGCTTGGTATGCCGAACAAAGTGGCTGCACTAGGCGTGGGACGCGCAAGTGCTGGGCTGCTAATACCTGGCACGTAGTGCTCGGGCATTGCATCCGCCACGATTGGCATTGAACTGCGGCCAGTGAAGAAGTTTCCACCGGTGAATGGAATTCCATCCATCACGAGGTTCTTGTCCTTGTCCGATTCCGAGAATGCGAACTTCTCTTTGGCGACTGGACTAACTTGACTTGGGGACCGTATTTCAGGGGATCGTACCTCATCTCCTACGGAAAATGCAGGCATTACTTCCTTTCCTACGTGCTCCCAGCCAGACTCAGTAGTCCTTGAAGACATGGGCATGCTCGAAGGTCGCGTCGCTCCTCCTTGGTTGGAGTTTCGCGCTGCCTCCAATTCGCTGCGTGTCCTTGCTTGAAGATCTTCTTGTGCTTTGAGCGTTTTCCTGAGTTCACTCAGCTCGTCGTGCAAGGTAGGCAATGATCGCCTTGCGTGATCTTCATTATGATGAAGTCGATCCTCTGCTTCTTGCATCCTCTTCACAGCCATTTTGCGGTGCTCTTCCTCTTCACCAAGACGTTCGCGAAGCCGAAATCGTTCTTGCTCAATGGCTGCGCTGTTTCCAGCTAGCCCTTGGATCTCGTTCACAGCCCGCAACTCCTGGTTCTTGACCAAGTGGAATCGTTCCTGCATTGCTTGTAAGGCTTGTTCCGAACTTGCTGTGTTTGACCGGAGGCCCAAGTTCTCTCTGGCATGTTCATGAAGTTCATGAGTCAGACGCTCATACTCACGTGCCATAAGCTCACCATCGCCTTGCGCTCTTGCCTCCAACTGCACAAAGTTAGTGGCTGCCTCCGTGCGGAACACGTGTAGCTGTTGAGCTAACTCCTCGGCAACGGCATTTGCTTGACGTTGTTGAGCAGAGTTCTGTTCATCCATGCGAAACAAAGCTGTTTCATAGTCTCGCTTCATCTCCTGATTGACATTGTTGATGTGCCTCATGGCTAAGCATGCATGATCACGTTGTCGTTCCAATTCCTCAATGCGAATTCCAGATCCTTCATCTTCTTGTTGCATCTCCTTAATCTTGTCCATCAGGGTCTGGACGATTCCTTCGTATTCTTGCACCTGACTGCGATAGTACATCTGCTGTGCAAGGTTCGATGCTTCGAATTGTTGCGAAATCGTCAGTTCCTGGTAGGCATTCGGACCATCAGCTATTGCAGGCGTGGCCACGGATGACGCATCACCACGCGCAGGAATCGTATCCAGAGTCATGTCCAGATCGTCAGCATCGCGTGGTTGATTGGTAACCATCCGATTCCAAGTCATGGACTTGTCACGCCCCCGAGTAGCCGAAGTCCTCGATCGTGCTGAAGAGCTTCTCGAAGATGATGGTCTTGACTTCTTTTCCAAGGTCTTCACTCCTTTGTCCTTGGCCCTGGACGTAGTCCGAGGTGCCTGAAAACCAGACGCTTCGGCCCGTCGTTCTGAAGCCTTGCCCGTCCGCGAACCTGTGGATGTCGGACGCGAAGGCGTAGATGCTCTTGGTAGACTCTTTGCTTTCCCCTTGGGAACTGCCTTTGCAATGGCAAGCGCAGAAGATTGACCTTTGTCATTTTCCGTGGAGCTATCAACGGATTGCACCACTGTGTCATCAGCTGTTGACTCACCAACGGCTGGCGCTGCCACATCGGCACCGAAAGTCATTGTCGTATCTTGGCTTGATCCTGAGTTCATTGTGGTCGTAGTAGATCAATTAGTCGTTGCTGTAGAAAGGCAGAGCCGCGTACGGCTGATAACCTGCGTGGGGGATTGATCTCGACTTGGTTGCTGCTCTCCCCACCAGAGCTGTAATGAATGTAGGTGTGGCTGGCTTGCACTCTCCACAGACTGGACCCTGTCTCTCCCTCTTACTTCCACCCGTGCAATCCTATGCAGGCAGAACCGGCGGCCGTTCCTTTTGCACTCACTGCCGGCGGCGGTTCGTCTGTGCAACGGGATAGCTCTGATTGCTCAGGATAGAAGACACATATAGCACTTAGCTATGGGCATTGACTTGAGCCAAACGTTGCGTTGGCTGTCACATAGAAAGGTAAAGATGAGGGATGCGTAGCATGCCCCCTAGAGTCGAGGGACGCGTAGCGTGCCCCCTTCTCTTGCACTTTACACGGTCTTGCTCACAGCTCTTATAGTGACACCTTAGAACTTGACAAGGCATCGCAGTCCGTTCGCATAGGGCAATAGGCGTCGGCCAGAATATACTGCTAGGATCCCCTGTAACCTTGGGAAAAGGATTGCCTTTCTGGTATAAGGGACGTAAGGCCACGACATAGGAAACAGGGCCCGTTGGGAGATAATAATAATACTAACACTAATACTAATACTAATACTAATACTAATACTAATACTAATACTAATACTAATACTAATACTAATACTAATACTAATACTAATACTAATACTAATACTACTACTACTAATAATAATAATATAACAGGTAACCCAGCAACCCCCGTTATTGAGGTGATATACTTATAGGGCACCTAGATACGAATCCCTTTCAGGTCTAAGTAAATATTATACAGGTACACGGAGCATGAGGGTATGATGTCTCTAGGAACCCCAAACCCTACACCCTACCTATAGTCTCCACGGTCTTTCCTTTTCAGGTTCACCAAAATCTCCATTATAGGATCCTAACTATAAAACGGGTTAACCAAAAAGGGAACTAAAATGGAGACTAGAACGACCCTCCAAGTTCCAAACCCTAAACCCTAATCCCTAAACCCTATAACCCCATAGATCCCTTTAATGGAACCCTACCAAGTTGGTATTAAGTATTCTGAAGTGTGTAACGGCGCCAGCAGGTCTCCACGGTAATGGGAAAGTCGGGGAAGTTTAATAGTCCAGCAAGCGCCAGCCGCTGCTCCTGATATGCAGTAGGTGAGGGTTTAGGGTTTGGGGTTTAGGGTTTAGGATTTAGGGTTTGGGGTTTAGGGTTTGGGGTTTAGGGTTTATGGTTCGGGTTTAGGGTTTAAGTTAGGGGTTAGGGTTTACGGCTCAAGGTTTCTAAGTGTTTTATTGTTCAGGCTCTTTTGCTTCCGCCTACGCAATCTCCGCGCTTTCGGGTCAGGTTTAGGGCTTAGGGTTGGTGACGCTGGTGCAGAGACGAGGGGCTGTTAGGGCTTCAGGAAGACCTTCAAGCTATCGGGTTTGAGGGCCGTCAGGGCCCTCGCGCATGGCGGGTCTAAGGTTAGGGCTGCTTGGTGTTCCGGGATTTAGGTCCCTAAGGCCTTCGGTGACTTGGGGCTTCGGGTGGGGGGCTCGGACTGCTTATAATGGCATTAAGAACTGTGAAGGGCATGTAGGATGCCGGCATTCACCCAAAGGCTCCTTGTACCCATATTATATATGCTTCTGCCTTAAAGTACCTATATAGGGACCCCTTTAAGGCTTAAGTATCCACTATAAAGGTACATGGAGCCTTTGGGATTCTGTGTTGCCAAGGCCGCACATCTTAGCCGTAATAACAGGGCAGGAAACTCTTGCGCTCAATCCTGCAAACCCTAAACTTACCCTAAACCCTACAAGACTACATACCCTAAACCCTAAACCACTAAACCCTAAAAGACTAAACCCTAAACCCTAAACGACTATACCCTAAACCCTAAACCCTAAACCACTAAACCCTAGGCCCTAAACCACTAAACTCGAAACCCTAAACCCCTAAACCCCTTCATGAGGGCTCTTCTCTCGTGCAATTTAGACTCATTACGAGCACAGACTACAGCCTGAATCAATACCCAGACCGCCGGAAGGATCTAGAAAGTAGATCCCCTAATTTAGGGCCTTTTACTACCAAGGGTACTTTATAGGAACCCCCATTAAGTTAAAGGGATCTACAATTTGGATCCTCCCGGGGCCGGAGATCGTAAACCCGATAAGTCCTAAACCTACGAGATCCTAAACCAGACCTCCTAAGGCTCAATAGAGCCTTGCCGTAAACTACAGGGCAAGAGCCCACAAAGCTGCAACCTAAGAGCTTCAGACCTGTGACCTTCGGAAAGGAGGGCCGTAAGCACTGGAAGACGGTTTCTTGCGGTATTTTATCATGTAAGTACAACCCAAGGAACCCTAGTCAATAAGATTGCAAGTGTTCTAGACCTAACAGTGACCTAGGAATTAAAAGGTTGCCCTTTTTGGGTTAAAAGGGCTCATGTATTACTTTTTGGGAAAACCTAAGCCCCAAATAAAGCAATAAGGGCCTACCGTAAACCCTAAACTGCATGTATTGCCTCAGCCTCAAGAGACCCTCAACCCTCCAAGCACTGAGCCCCTAATATAGGGGCCTTAATGGCTAGAATAGGGTTTAGGCTTTTAGGGTTTAGGGTTCCTCTAAAGGGGTCTATAAGGATACTACAACTACAACTCGGGCCTTAATGATTGGAACAGGGCTTTCGAGCCCAGTATACTAGAACTATAATTTGGAGTCCGCAAAAGAGTGGGAATTATTTAGGCCAATATATTTATTCACCCCCAAACCTTCAACACTTGATCGCGTAATTTGCAGCCCCGCCTCTGGATTTCGCTCGCCGCCGCAGGCTTCCAGTAGAAACTCATGCCTGGAATTTGCGAGCGTAGTTGAACTAGGATACCCAGTGACCTAAGAATAAAAAGGCCTCTCTTTTTGGTATTGGGTAACTTTATAAGGAACCTAGGACTACAAAAAGGGAACAAGGGTACTACTGGAGATCCTAGTGAAGGTTCGTTGGTAGTTTCGTGACTATTTCTACTTGAGTATAATGAGCCCCTGATCTTTGGCGTTGGCGTGGTCCTTTGGAATTCGGGGCCGGGGATGTTAAGGCTTGCATATGAGATTTTAGCTTAGGGGCTGAGTACCCCATCCAAAACATGGTTAACCCTTTCAATTATGGCAGGATTATATAAACCCCAAAGCTTAAAAGCTACTAAGAGGTATATATGAACTTCTATAGTGCCCCCCTTATAGTACCCTAGACTCAGCTACTATTAAGCGAGGGGCTGTGGAGGACTTGGGTGTCTTGAGGGCCTGCGCCTTCAGGTTTTTTCCGGCAGGGTTTTGGGGATCAGCTAAGGCTTATAGGGCTTAGGGTCTTGAGGGTTTAGGGCTTAGGGTCTTTAGGGTCTTTAGGGGCTTTAGGGTTTAGGGTCTTTAGGGGCTTTAGGGCTTTGGAGTGTTAGAGTTTCGGTCTCTGGGATCAGGTCTTAAGTCTTTACATAGGGGCCTGAGCATTTAGAACAGGGTCTTGGGGCATGTTACAGTATAGGTATAGTAAAGAAACCCCACGGCATAATGCTGGTAATCATGTACTTAGGCTTCTATGTTAGCACCCTGCCATGTTGGGTTTAAAAGCTTCGAGGGTCTGCTTCAGATTCAGAGTTTACTACGCCAGTCACCTCTAAACCCTAAACCAAAAGAGATTCTAAGTTCGAGCCCTGTATAGCCTGAAGCCTACAAGCAAAATCAAGCAAACCTCAAACCTGAAACATCCCCAACCTGTTACCCTAAAGTCTGAAGCCCACAACAGCCCCACAAGCCTTATAACCTCATCGAAGCAAGCATGGCGTTGGGGCCGCAAAACCCAGAACATCAGCCCTCCGAGTCTTAGCCCTTAACCCCAAACCCTAAACCCTAAACCCCAAACCCTAAGCCCTAAACCCCAAACCCTAGATCCTAAACCCTAAACCCTAAGCCCTAAACCCGATATCCTAAAATCTAAACCCTAAACCCTAAACCCTAAGCCCAAACCTTAAACCCTAAATCCTAAACACAAGCCCTAAATCCTAAACCCAAACCCTAAACCCTATAGGGCTAAAGCTGCCCCGGGACAGTGCGGGAAGGGTGGCGCCCGGTGAAAGCGTCCGCGGCGGCGGAATCGCTCCGCTCGCATGCCCAGGCCTGACAGTCTTGGAGTTTCGGGGTTAAGGTTTAGAATTTAGGGTTTAGGGTTTAGGGTTTAGGATTACAGGAATATGGGAGTTTCCGAAAATTAGGGGTACCGTGTTTTGGGAGGCATTATAATAAGGATCCTACAGGGTACTATGTTAGGGTCCCTCATTTTCGGGCACTCCCATACAGGTTTAGGATTTAGGGTTTAGGTTTTAAGGTCCAAGGGTATTGAAAGGATGTTTTGCTGATTCCTAACACTAACAGAGACTTGATTTCGAGGATTTAGTGACAGGTCCTACATGTATTCCAAGTTTGAAAGGAGAGGGGTTTTAGGGTGCAAGTTCATGGCTTATAGGGGTGACAATTTGGTACTGTGCTTCCATACTTTGAAAGGGTTACATTGCGTTTTGGTCTGGTTGAGTTGGTTGAATACGGGGGGTTGGAGTCAGGTGTTGATGTTTCAGAATGAGAGCTTCACAGCTTTGAAGATACGGCCTGCGAATTCACAGGGTTTTGATTTGAGCATTCCTCGACACGGGAAGTATAAGAGCTCTTTAGTTGACATTGTTCGCGGCACGGCTGAGGGATTTCAGAGCGGGTTCTTCAGAGTGTGCTGTGCAAGTTAACAATTTGGGAGTTTCCCAAAATAGGGGACCCAAATATAGTACCCTAAATAATAGGACCCTTATTATAAGGACCCCAAATAAGGTACCCTAATTTTCGGAAACTCCCATTTCTACTGAAGTCCTGATTACAGGTTGTTGTCTCACTCTGAGCCGTCAATCCCGAGCCACAGCCCTAAGCCCTAAATCCTTCCACGCTCTGCCCGGCCTGTGTTGAGACCAGAGCTCTTTCGACTGCGTGCCAAAGGCACGCCAAAGAGCCTTCTCCTCCGCCTCCTGCAGCTACCCTAAGGCTCCATAATAGTTCCTGTTTGGGATTACCTTGAAGGAACCTAAGCATGAGCCACAAAAAGGAACTACTATAGACTATGGGGCCTTAGGGTACTTCCACTTCGAGCCGTTGGGGTTTCCAAGCGTTCAGGAGTGTAAGCATCGGGTCGCTTTTGAGAGTTTAACACTTTAGGGGTTTGGGCTTATAGGGTTTACGGTGCGTTGGGGCTTTGGATTTGTAGTCCATGCGGGGTCTACAACACCAGGCATAGTTGAGGCTTGGGGCAGCGCTGACTACTGAATCCACTCAAAGCAGACGCACAAGGACATTATGTGGGGGGTTGTCAAAATTAAGGTCCCTATTTGGGTACCCTAAATATTAGGTATTAAAATAGGGGCCCTAAACCCTAAACCCCTAAACCCTAAACCCTAAACCCCAAAAAGGGACCCTAATTTTGACAACCACCCATGTGCAACTGGCCTCCTGGGCCTGGGTGGAATGCCGAGGACTGCCACGAAGCAAAGCTCCGCCGGGCCGATTATGGCTACCCCAGGCTCAGAATGGCCCCCGAAAGCTTCGTATCTAGTATGATATGGCCAGAAACCGCAAAAAGGTACATCATTCGATCGTCCGGCTGATCTCGTGGTCCCGAACGCTCCGTATTCCTTTGGGCCGATCTACTATGATGTAGTACAGTTTTTGGTCGGCAATTACCTTTCTGTGCCCGAGCCCCTTTACGGCCTGTAAAACAAACTAGCTAAGGGATATGGGAAACTGAAAGAAAGTGAAGTCCCCACGGAACCCTTACTGCCCTCAAGGACCCTTAGGGGAACCTGAAAAGAACCCTCTAAACTTCGAAGAAGCCACTTTCAGATCCAGGGAACCCTCAATTTAAGGGGAACCCGTAAACCCTAAACCCTTCAAGGAATGCCAACCCTAGAGCTACATCTAGCCTTTAGGGTTTAGGGTTCTTTTGTGGGCTGAAAAAAGTTAGGGTCTCCGGTTGAGTCGAGGGCTCGAGGTTGAGAGTTTTGAGGTTCAGGGTTGGTGGTTGAGACTTCGGGGTCTACGGTTTAGGGCTTAGGGTTTAGGTTTTATAGGGTTTAGGGTTTAGGGTTTTCCAGTTAGGGCTTTAGGGTTTAGGGCTTTAGGGTTTAAAGATTGATGTTCAGGGTTTGGGGTTTTTGGCTCTCGCTGATTGACTGAAGCAGCTGAAGCTCTAGCCGTGTAAACAAACACGGAGCACCGACCCATGGGATCAAGTTGAGGATCCGCTGTTTTCCGTGATCCTGAACACCTTTGGGAGTTTCCGAACATTAGGGGTACCTTATAGGGGATGAGAATCCTACCATTTAGGGTACGGTACTATATTCGGGTCCCCTATTTTCGGAAGCTCCCTCATTATAGTATTATAGAATAATAGAACCTGTATATTACATCCGCATTCTGCAAGACATAGCAAACCCATGCTCCAGACTCTCACCTACGATTTTGCAACACAAGAGAACCTGAACCCTAAATGATGGCTTGGGGTTGCGGAGATAGGAGAATACCTGTCACCCTTGTCCTTTTAGAAAGAATAGACAAAGCCCTATACCTATATCCCTTAGTAGGAATTATCTAAGAAGTTCTACTAGCCGGTCTGTTTATTCTTTTGGGGGAACCATGAAAAAGGACAAGGCTGATACCTGTTCCAGGGCCCAAAAGGCAACCTCCTCAAGGAGCTCAATGATCAAAACCAGGGCTGCTGCTGGCAATGATGACCGCTTGGGCTGGTCGTCGTTTTAAAGGGATCACAGGGAACCCGAAAAGGGAGCCCTTACAACCTTCTACAACCCTGCCGTTCCTGATGTTTGTGTTACCTCTTCTGGTTTTGAATAGCCACCTCGTTGGACTCAGGCGTGATCTTGCCCTCAACGACGTCTGTAGTGCTTTGGCGCTCGACGTCCTGTGGCAATGGCTGCGGCTTGCAACCCCGCCTGGACCAAACTAAGTTTCAACAAATATTCAGTGCGGGGTTCAGTGATTAAGAGCTGGCCCAGTTCCCTAAGGGTCCATGTACCCATATAGCATATACTTTGGGCCCAATGTACCTATGTAGGGACTACTTTAAGGCCAATGTATATACTATAAGAGTACATTCACCCTTAGGGATTGTCGGCCTGTAAGTGGTTTCTTCGTATTCGTTGGGACTCTATGTGTCGGTGCCCCCAGGCGAGCTGCAGAATCCATGATATGGGGGGCCTCGATAATTAGAACAGCGTTTTGGGGCCCGTTATACTATAGTACAAAAAAGAACCTCCATAATAGTATTGGTAATTATTTAAGCCCCTACAGTATGTAAGTTGGGTACACTGGCGGCTCGCCCACCCTGCGAAGCTTCTGTTGTACACGTGTTGCGCGCAAGTCGGCAATAGCCTTGTATGGTGGAGCATGGGTGCAACGTACACATATACATGTACGTGTACATACACATACACATATACATATAAATATACATATACACATACATAAGCATATACATATACATATACATATACATATACAGTGTATATATATATATATATACATATGCATCTACATATACAAATACATATACATATCTGATGGTCTTGGAACCTGTCGCCATTGTGCTCTTCTTCTTACGGCCACCTGCATCTTCGTCGCAACTCTGAGTAGAACCCTTAACGGATCGTACGGTTACCACAAGCATACCTCTGCTTGCAGCCCCAAAACGACCTCTCCCAAACCCTTTATAAACACTAAATGTCAAATCCCAAACCGTAATCCCAAACCCTAAACCCTAATCACAAACCCTAAATCCTAAACCCTAATCCCAAAACCTAATCCCTAAACCCTCTACCCTAATCCCTAAACCCTAAACCTTAATCCCAAACCCTGCCCCAAAAAACTTAACTTCCGAAGCTGTTCTAAAACCTTCCGAACTCCCAGGCAGTAGCGATTTAGGGCTTACAGGGTCTACCTTACCCCTGAAGAACCCAACCTTTTTAAGGGCTTATATTTAAAAAATAAGGATCCCTGAAAGGGTAGGTTATTCAGGGTTTAAGGTGGGGTCTACCTTAACCCTGAATAACCTACCCTTTCTAAGGACTTATATAACTTATATAAGGAAATCATAGTAAGGATCCCTAAAAAGGTAGGTTATTCAGGGTTTAGGGTCTAGGGCTCGTGAAAAGCCTATCCGAGTCTATCCTGCAACTACATGTGCCCGTATTCTGCAGCCTGCATATGCCCGCCCTTCTTCCAGACGTCCCCTCGAGTCCGGCGTGACAGTAGGTGTTTGGTATTGCGGGCACAGGATACATGAAGCCAAGATTGAGGATTTTTACCCTAAGCCCTAAATCGCTCGTCATCAAGCAAAGAACCCTACGGTAAAGAGTTGACATGCCCAGTGCCAGGCCCAGGACGTAAGGCAGGGGCCTTAATTTATTAGAATAGGGTTTGGGTGTATATGTATACTATAGCTTTCATACGGAATAATGCTGTAGGGTTTGGGGGGGGCTCCTTACTGTAACTACAATAGAATATACCCCCAAACCCTATTCTATCTATTCATATTTGTCAAGGCCCCACAGTAAAGCCTGAACCCCTGCAGAGTCACTCCTCCCAAGGCTCTTCTACCACCTTCTCCATGCTAGGAGCCAGCAGCTCACTTGCCGACATCTCCTGCAGTCTTACGGCTGCTGGGTTCCTCAGTGGCCCCTTAATAATGAGGGTGCCCTGTTCCGACTAGTCGGTTTTGATATGGGGACCCTGGCTACTACTCAGAAACCTGGGCTTCTCTGGGATTTACCTGGAGGCTCATACCCTACCCCTTTTTTAGGGCGCCTACTTTTTAAGATAACACATCCTAACCATAAAACTAGGTATCCTAAAAAAGGGGTAGGGTATGAGCCTCTAGGTAGAGTTAGGATGAGAAAGGTTTCGTAGCGATGCCCAGCGTGCGAATTAGTGTTAGGACAGTGCGCACACTGGAGCTCAAGGTCTGGGGTTTGGGGCGCAGAGCCCACATGGGGCTCTTTGAGCAAGACCTCAGGCCAAAACATCCGTGCAGGTGTGCGAAGTGCGTGATCTCTCCAACTCCAGGGCCGTGTCAGCCCAATTACCTTCCCCCAGGGCCACCATACTGTAGCATTCTACGGCCAAAGACGGACAGTAAGTTTATCCTTAACACTGTGCATCTGCAGAGTCATCACAGAGTGTAGAGCAGGTAGCACACACTAAATGGGGTCAGTCTTGTTGCATGTATGGACCGGAGCCACCCAAGTCAAGGGAGTGCCGGGAACGAACCCTTCGTTCCAAGCCCTGCGCAGTCAATGCTGAAGGAGTGTGAAGGGCCCAGATAGCTGGTTGGATGACCAAGTGCAGGACAGAAGATACCTGTAGTCTCCATTGTAGTTCCTTTTCGGGTTACCTTATGGGATCCTATACATCTAAAACTTGTCAAACCACAAAAGAAACTGCAAAAGAGACTGTAGGTACTGTAAGAACGCTTGGTCAGCGGTAGTCCGTTTCAAGGGGTGGTGGTTCCGGGCCCCTGACCGTTGAAGCTGTCCCTATCAAATGCAGCGCCAGAATGCTAGACTATCTATCTGCCCAACCCTAAAGCTGTTTGACTGTGCATACAAGTTGTAAAAAGTCCCAGCTGCATCAAGATTATACATATTTTAGCTAAATGTATATGTATATGTAGATGTATCTGCGTTTATATCTATACCTGTGTATATGCGTACATATGTTTTCTATCGACGCATGTGTAGAATGTTACCCTAAGGCCCCATAGGAGTTCCTTTTTGAGGTTACCTTACAAGAATCTAATTATGAACCACAAAAAGGAACTACTATGGGGCCTTAGGGTAAAAATATACACAGACCCCAAGGCTCCAAGTACCTAATAATCATATATACTCTCCAAAATTCTAACCTACATAACTACTATCCTAAAACCGAGTACCGAATTATTGGGTCCTTTGGACCCTTGGGGAGATAGCCTGTGGATACACATGTGCATGCGGCACGTGCGTCCAAGAAGGCTTCGAAGCTGGTCCTCCCCTTCCAGCTCGTCGCACATAGTTTCGACCAGCCGCTTCCCTGCGACAATCAAAAGGGAAAAGGAGGGACCCTTAACGGGGACCCCTACCCTATAATGGGCTATATAATGGGTATATAATGGCTATATGAAGGGTATATACCTCGGAGTCCTTATTAAGGGTCCCTCCTTTTACCCTTGGATACAAAGTAAGAACTACCCAAGCTCCCTAAAGTAGATCGGTTAAGGGTTTAAGGCTTCCCTGTATAAAAGACAACTATTCTACATAATATTGGGGTCCTGATAGGGTCCGGCGTTTAGGTTTTCTTGAAAGGACTCATGTATAAATAAATACAGGTCTATATCTATAGAGAGAGAGAGAGAGAGAGAGAGAGAGAGAGAGAGAGAGAGAGAGAGAGAGAGAGAGAGAGAGACGATGACAGAGAGAGCGAGAGAGAGACAGAGATAGAGCGATGACGGAGGGAGAGAGAGGTAGGAGTGAGAGTCTGGTGGGTCGTGGTTTCCGTGGTAGATGGGACCAAAGAACATGCTGTATTTCCTTGTGTTGAGCTTCATGGAATGGTTAGCAGGGCACCAGAAACGAGAAGTAGAAGCGATCCGAAGGAAGAACGAGCGATGTCATGACCTACACACCCTGCAGGCATACTCTTTTGTCGCGAGATGCCTTTGTTAGTAGCTATAAGGCAGCTGGATCCTCTGCGGCTCGGAACTCTACCAGTATCCTTGAGCGCTCTAGACTCTGTTGCCGCAGATCAACCACAGCATGGAACACTAGCTACCCTAACTCCCCATAGTAGTTCGTGGTTCATATGTAGAACCCTATAAGGTAATCCCAACAACGAACTACTGTTGATGATATAAATCCTGCATGACCTTAAGGACCCAAAACTATGGGAATTATGGTATATTCCTTATTATGGGTAATGCAGGATTTATATCATCAACCGTATTAGGGTAAGCCGTACATATAGGGGGGGACTCCGGGATGACTCATTGCTGCACTCCGTAGACCGGCAGATGATGTACCCATAGGCTTCATAGTTAGTAGTTCCTTCTTGGGATTACCTTATAGGATTCCAAATATATATATATATATATATATATATATATATATATTAACCCCGAAAAAGAACTACTAGGGAGCCTATGAGAAGTTTTTGTTCTGCTTTACATTGCTTTCTTGTCACAGAAGCTCAGCCGTACCGAAAAAGTGCTGTGTCTGTTGCCCTGCTATCGGTCTAAGTACCTCACAATAATGTACTCCCCCGAATACTAGCCTACGTCATTCTTATCCGAAACCCCAACACGTAATTGATAGGTCCTTTGGACCCTTAGGGTGGTTCTGATGCTAGCCCCAAGGCTTGGTTTCGGGACTCGGGGCGTAGGACTTTAAGATAGTAGGGGACAGGGTTTCAAAAACCTCCAAGGTTTTACGAAGATTGCACATCCCAATCGTTCGAAACAGTGAACTCTGTACTCGTCGCTGCCAAAAACTGACACGAAAGCCTGATCTCTGATCCACAAAAACATGCCTTTTCGTGACTTATGGATTGCTATTTCCTCAAGCAAGCACTAGACTCCTTCCTACAACCGATGCTTAACCCAAACCCCCAGACAAACCCGAAACCTCAAACCCTCCTCCCAGAGTCGATACCCGGCTCATACTTCGAATAAGAGGTTGCGGTATGCTGTACCATACCTATACCGAGGAAACCTATGACAAATTGCCGGAAAACAAAAAATATCCAGGCTGTTACAGTACATCTAGCTCGCAGACATCCCCCAAACCGGAACATTCTGACAAGAACCCCATGAATTCAGCACCCTAAGCCTTCTGAGCCCTGTGCTCCGAAACCCCGAAAGTGGCCAAAGCAGCCAACCCCTAAGCTCTATAGACACCACAAGCCCCAAGCCGTGCCTGGCAGTGAAGGCATTTTGCCTACCTCCTCTTCGGAGTTCTTGCGCCTCTTAGGCATAATAATGGTTGTGTTGTGCCTTTCATTAGTTTGGAGCTTGTCTGAAAATTGGGGGTCCTGGCTTTGCGCTGTGATTAAGGATCCTATTCGCTGGTTTACCCTCAAGGCCCCATAGTAGTTCGTTTTTGTGGTTCATATTTAGATTCCTATGAGGCAATCTCAAAAAGGACTATTATGGGGCCTTAGCGTAAGCTGCGCTGGGCTGCATTGGGGGTTCAGGCTCGAGGATTGAGCTTGATTGGAATCCAAGCCTCTGCTTCGAGTTTCTAGGAGCGGGCCTGCACTCCTCTGCTAGTTGCACATTCAATACATATATATATATATATCTACATATCTATATATCTATATATCTATATTATATACATATGTATGTATGCATATATATATATATATACATATATATATATATGTTTTTTTTATATTATATGCATACATACGTATAAAGGTGGACTGCAAGGGCAACCGGCGGCCATCGCACTCCAAGACAACCAAAGGCCCTAAATGCTGAACACTGCAGCCCCTGACCTTGAACAGGAAAGCCTTACTTATGATGTGCTGATGTCGAAGACGAATCCGAACTCAAAACCAGTAGCAAACCGCTTCAGGCATATTCCCTGCACGGACTTGCAAGTCCCTGTAAAAAAAGACCCGGCAGATTGCATCCCAGCCGCTTCTGAGCCGACGCACGTGACAGGTAGTTCAAAAAGTCGTGAAACGTGATCGACTGTTTACCTTGCTGTGGGTTGAAGGCCCCTATACCCCAAACCCTCATAGCGCAGGGCCCTGAGCCCTGGTCCTTTGACCTGTGCTTATAGGACTCTACATGTTCGTCTGAACTGCGTCTGTAATTGCTCTCAGAGGGTTCGGCTGCATGAACTTGACATGTCAGTGTTCCCGATTGCATCCCCCTAAACCCTAAACCCTAAAATCCCTAAAGGCGGTGGGCCTCCTCCTTAGTCCTTTCTTCTTCAGTCAATGCAAAACCTAAAAGTCTGTAACCTTGCACCTTTTTCTTTCTGAAGCCCAATTAGTAACCTTCGACTAGTGATGCCAGCTTTTCTGAAGAGTGTCCGAAAGCAGTGCAAGCACAAATGCAAGATGATCGCATAAATTGGATGTGGGTATAGTTTTCTAAGGCTTCAAGTTGTCAAGTGGTACATTGGAGGCTTACTTAGTGTTGTCGGGTCTGGGGGCTTGGGCAGGCATTCGCGCGTGAAATCGGGATTATGGGTGGTGCTCTGGCGTCGGTTCAACTAGTGTCTTAGAATTCGCACCTTGCCAGGTGCGCATGTGTGTGCTGTTGCTTTGAATGCTTGTGCAAATTTGACACAGCCACATGTGTTTAGGCACGAATGCGAACCTAATGAGAACCACAGACAACCCTCTCTCTGCTACTAGGCAAACAGGAAAACAACAGCCCGAACCGTACGCGAAGAATCCCTTTGTTGCAGATACCCTGGGGCTCCAAATGGCCTAAAGCAGGTACCAATGAAAGACTCTAATCCCCAAGGTAAGTAAGATTTATATACTTGGAGCCTTAGGGATACCTGGAGACCCTAAATCCTATTAAAACTCCGCAAACCTTTGAGCTCCTCGCTACCGCCAATCTCCGCCATGACCTCGCACAGGAGGCGGGGTGCAACATGGGAAAAGCTGCGATCACGTAGGGTAACAACTAGCAATCCTGAAGCCCGGAACGCTAATGTGGGCGCCTTAATAATTAGAATAGGGTTTTGGGGCCCTGCAGACTATAATTACAATAAGGAACCCCCATAATAGTATAGGTAATTATTTAGGCCCATATAGTCGCCGCCGATGTGAAGTTGTACTCAACTCTCAGGACCTGTTTGAGACCCTGCCGGGTGTACAGATGCACACCCACACGCACAGAGAAACACACACGCGTGAATGTACGTATGTCTGTATGGATCTGCCCGTACATATGTGTTTTTCTATATACACATACAATATAGGCACATGTCAATGTATACCTGTAACTTAGATAATTACATATACATATGTATATATATACATATATATTCACATATACATATATATATATATATGGCTAGATGAACACAGAAACAGTCTAACTTGTTTCTCGCACAAAGGAACGCACGTCAATCTTTACAATAGTACCTAGCGATTGATCTTTCTGTCTGTCTATCTGTCTATCGGCTTAACTATCTGTCATTATCTATCTATCTGTTTGTCTGCTTGTCAGTCAGTTAGTCTGTCTATCTGTCTATCTAGCTAACTCGTTTTCTCCCTATCTCTGTCTGTTTATCTACCTACCTACCTATCTGTCTCCCGATCTATGTCCCCATCCCCCTATCTAACGATCGACGTATCCACCGCTCTTTCTTTCTTTGTACCGACCTGTGGACTATAGAGCTACGGGTTTAGCTATAGAACTATCTACCTATCTACCTATCTATCTGTCGATCTATCTTGAAAACGAACTAATTATCTATAGGTGTGTGAATGTCTATCTATCTGCCGACCTATCTATCCATCTAGGAAATTAGGTAGCTAGCCATCGGGCCACCTTATCTATCTGTCTATCCACTCATCTATCTAAACGTAGAGATACGGTTGATGATATAAACCCTGCATTACCCCTAATAAGGAATATACCATAATTCCCATAGTTTAGGGTCCTTAAGGTAATGCAGGATTTATATCATCCACCCTAAACCCTAAACCCTAAAGCCCTATAGATCCCTTAAAGGAACCCCTAAAGGTACCCCTTATAGATCCCTTTAAAGGAACCCTAAGATTTATATCATCAACAGTACCTCCCCGCCACCAACCCGGCCTCATCCACCGTCTGGCCATTTGGCAGCACTTCGACCAGTGGCCCATCTCCTGGGGAGTTTAGGGTTTCAGGGGTTCCCGTAACGGGTTCCTGTAAGGACTGCTAAAAGGGATTCTTTAAGGTACTATATGGGCGTTTAGGGAGTTTAGGGTCTCAGGGGTTTTTGTAAGGGTTCCTATAAGGACTACTATAAGGGATTCTTTAAGCTACTGTATGGGTACTATGTGGGTTAGGGCGGTTAGGGTTCAGGGGATCGATGCGTTTAGGGGGGTTAGGGTCCATCTCCTCCTGCCAGGGTGTGTCGTGCTTACAGGCTCTGGTTTTTTCAGCATTTAAGATACTTAGCAGCTTGTTTCTATTGCTTTTCGGGTTTAGTGTGTTCGGAGCTTTTCAAAGGTGTCTAGGACTTTGCCATTTTTCAGAGCTGCAGGTTTTGGGACCTACATTATAGAACCCTATTATAGATCCTTTATACTTGTGTAGAGCCCTTTAGAGGAACCCTATAAACCCTAAACCCTAAACCCTAAACCCCAAAACCCTAAACCCTAAACCCTAAACCGTAAACCCTAAACCCTATAATTACCGGTATTCGGCCCGATGGGTCTCCTGAGAGCATCAGCCGCAGCTCGGTCAAGGAGATCTGGCCGTCGCCATCCACGTCGAAGACGTCGAAGGCCTACTTGGAGGTTCCAGGGCAGTTACAAGTAGGGCTCCTTTAAGGGTTCCTTTAAAGGGATCTATAGGGATTCTATAAGAGTATAGGGTTTAGGGTTCAGGGGTAGATATAAGTAGGGTTATAAGTCCTGAAATATGGGTTGTAAGTATAGTTACCCTACTTATAACCCGACTTATAACTGCCCATGAACCTCCAAGTAGCACGGCTTAGAGTTTAGGTTTAGTAAGGGTTTAAGGATGAGGGTCGGGCTGTTGCTTTTAAGTATTGCTTGGTCTCATGGTTTAGGGTCCAGGGTTATGTATTTAGAGTAGAAAGTCTATGGCATGATAAGATCTTATGCTCCTCGCTGCACCCAAAAAAGCCGAACAAGTGCCTCCAATCGCTGACCCAAGCTCTCAAAGTCAAGAGTTTGGGGTTTCGGGTTTAAGGATTTAGGGTTTAGCTCATGTACTTGTATCAAATGTGCACCGCGACCGTTGGGGTAACGCAGCTTAAGGCTTAGGAGGCCTCCTTCACTTGCGTCTCGGGCAGTGGCTCTGCGGAGCTTGCGAGAACCTTGGGGAAAGGGATGTTGGCTGTTGCATCGAACATGGGAGTTTCCGAAAATAGGGGACCCTAATATAGGACCCCAAATAGTAGGATCCTTACTATAAGGACCCCCAACATAGGGTCCCCTAATTTTCGGAAACTCCCACATGGGCATCTGGGAGTTATAGGGTTGCTGGCATGGTTCGGGCTGTCAGGGTGTAGAGAAAGTCTGCAAGACGTGGGTTCGTCACTGTTCGTGGTTGGGAGCAAGCTCTCACTTCAGCAGGCGAAGGTAAGCTGTCAGGGGGGGACACAAACCACCAGCCCTCCTTTCTCTAAGCTCAAAGGGTCCTATGTACTGTCATGGGGGATACTTCACTAAGTCAGAATAGCAATTCCTTATATGGAAACCTTACATTCTACTATATCGGTACATAGGACATCGGACCCTTTGGGAAGCTGAGCATCAAGTGGCAGGTCGCTGCTCACTATAGTGAACAGCACGCAGCGTAGCAGATGCCAGGGGAAGGGGCAACAAATGAATGCGTCGCCAGCCGTGTCGCAATACACGGGCATGGTGGAGAGCAGCAATGAGTGGTGGTGAGCACGAAGGAGGAACTAGACGCAAGTAGTGCGACGCAGCAGTATCGTAGCATATGTAGCAAGCAGGAACTTACGAAGTAAGTGTGTTTGTGTGTGTGTGTGTCTCTGTGTGTGTGCGATTCCGTGGTTTCGATCTATGTTGCTTGGCGTTCAAACACAACGAAATGTATCTGACATGCCTTGCAGCAGCCAAACCCTAAGCATGAAATGCAAAGGCCCACCTCTTACACCCTAAACCCTTATACATTCTAAACCCTTATCAGCCTCAAACCACAACCGGCAAGCAGTTATATATGGGTGGTTGTCAAAATGATGGTCCCTTTTTGGATACCCTAAATATTAGGTGCCGTAATATAATAGGAAGCCAGAACGGGACTCTAATTTTGTCAACCACCCAAATGGACCCGTAACCTAAACCCTAAACCCTAAACCCCTAATTTTGTCAACCACCCAATGGACAGCCGAGTTGCCGCTGCGAGGAACTCAGTGTACCTTGGCAATGTGAAACGTTTCTCGTTCGAGAGGTATAGAACCTTAACGGTTCATGTACATGGACCCTTAGGGGAAAAGAGAGTTGCAGGGTCTTGTTGTGGGATTCCGAGGTTTCGGAACCTAAGAGCGATTGAGAGTGCAGGGCTGCAGGTCTAAGTTGATGGAAAGCTTCTCGGTGCCCCATCAACTTCCCGCGTTTCTCAAAAAGCCTGCCTGCCCTCAGATCCACAAGAACAAGGCCCGGACCGCAGCAGTTTAGGCTGTAGGAACCCGAATCAAGGCTCGCTTGTGACTTCGACTACCTGCTGTTTACACGACAACATGCAATGCCTCATTACCTAAAACTCGCTGAGGGTTTGGGCATACAAGTATAGCTTATGCTGCTCATGGCACTTAGACCCTAGAACCTTGCACAAACCCCTGTAGACCCTAACTCAAAAACATGATAACATAGACCCGAATCTGCCTTGACAATTAGAATGCTCTTTTGGGAAACATACTACTAAGCATTTGTCAAAGACAGACTGTAACTAGGGGAATCATCAATACTTCCCGGTATTCAGATCTCTATGACTTTAGTATAACATACGACAATTTACAATCATGTCCTATAAAGTACCCTAAACCCTAAACCCAAATCCAAAACCCTAAGCAGAGCCCTCGAAACCCAAGGCCCTTATCCTTTCAAGTCGAGCGAAAGCTGCGAGATCCGACCGTTCTGGTCCATGTCCAAGATGGCCATGAGCCGTTGCGGGTCCTGTCCACTCAGGCTTTACCCATAGGCCCCGGAGTAGTTCCTTTGTGGGGTTACCTTATCGGATTCTACATATGAACCCAAAAAAGGACCTACTATGGGGCCTTAGGGTAAAGTTTAGGGACCCAAAGACCTGCAAGATCCGAAATGAAATGCTAGCCCGTACTTGATCTTGAAATATACTCGATGAACGAGCATCCTGTCTTAAGCTCTTCACAGCAAACCCGAGAGAGCACATGCAGACTCATGCAGTCTCTCGGCGTTCAGATCTGCACGAACTGAGAGTTCTGTGATCGTGGAATCTAGACCATGGGGTGCAGAGTTCACGGCTATGCGGACATATTATGCACTGAGAGTCGTAGCGTAGCCGTAGCCGTAGCCGCAGCCGCAGCCGTAGCCGTAGCCGTAGTCGTAGTCGTCGTAGTCGTAGTAGTAGTAGTAGTAGTAGTAGTAGTAGTAGTAGTAGTAGTAGCAGCAGCAGTTGTAGTCATAGCAGCATTAGCAGTTGTCGTAACAGCTATGCTAAGAATGTATGTAATTGGGCGTAGTAGCAGTGATAGTAAACTGCTAATACAATCAGCGGTGAGATGCGTAGTCAGCAGCGCCTCCTGAGCTCTCGTTCAGGAACATAACTTGAGTTACCATAATAAAGAAACCATACTGCTTACATCTATTTACTATAGATCCCTTTTATGGTAACTTAAATTACATTCATGAACCCCTAAACGACTATAGAACCCTGGAAGGAACCCTTATAGAGCCCTCGAAGGGAAGCTTATGGATCCCGATTATGGTAGCTCAAGTTAAATTCCGTTACAAGAACCCAGCCTCTGTGATGTTTAGCTGGGCCAGGGCTGCTTTGAACTCATTGAAGTCCAGGTTGCCGGACCTCCGGTAGGGTTAGGGTTTAGGGTTGAAGGCTAGGGTTTTGGAGTTTAGGGTTTAGGGTTTAGGGAACGCCACCCATGAAAATGAAAGAAGGGTCAAGGGCTTAGGGTTGAGCCCTCATTGAAAAGCCCTTAAGTTTTAGACCAATCTAGCCTTCAGGTTTGAAGTCCAGCAATCGTGTGATGGGGGTTTCCGCTTTTGCAAAACAGAGCAAGGCACTGCCCGTTGTGTGTGTAGGGGCGTTTCCATACAGGGAAAGGTCATGATGGAGTGCTTGCGGTTCAGCCTCAAATCGTCGTAAACCCTGAGCCTAAACCTCAGACCCTACCTATAGTCTCCATTGTAGTTCCTTTTTTTGGGTTAACCCAAATCTCTATTATAGGATCGTAACCATAAAACTGGTTAACCAAAAAAAGGAACTACAATGGAGACTATAGGTAAACCCAACATACCATGTCGTGGAGGTGTCGTGGGCTGCGGGCACTTCACAGCCAGGGGAGGGTCTGGGTCTGGGCTTGCATCTTCCGCTATGGTCCCAAAATATGCCCACACCCCGAACCCCTGAGAGTCCAAGTAGTCTCTCTTTACCCTAAGGCCCCAAAGTAGTTCCTTTTGGGGGTTCGTAGAACAACATTCTATAAGGTAATCCTGAAAAGGAACTACTTTGGGGCCTTAGGGTAAGGGTTTTCCATACCCTACTTGAACCCATAGCGGAAGCTCCTAAGCCCCTCGCCCTGAAACCCAACATGCCCGTCAAGCGGCTTGTCCTTATCCACCGACTGGAACACCTCCAAAACGAACGCCGGGAAATGAGTGAAGTGGCAGGATACCGGTAGGGTTTCGATGATTATGATGAAACCAGTCGCGTGTTGATTGGCACAGTAAAAGTACATAGTTCATTTGTCTCTTGCTTTTTGTGGTAGGAGTAGGGCTGTTCTTTACACTTCGAGAAGATGCTTACTTGAAATGTCGATTCCAGCTTCTTGCCGCACCAGATCATGAGGTGATGACTGCTACGATCCAGCGCTAGCACATAGAACACATTTGCAACACATCTGTTCATAGGATATCCTATAGGAAATCAGCACACAAGCATGATACAGGTCTTTTCGATCGTCAGCAAACATCAAAGAATGCCATCCGACCATAATTTCTTGCAGTGAATGTCGCAATTCTACAACTAGAGACTTCGAGACTTCTGCCTGAATTCGCGCGGTAAGGGTAATAATCTTAGGGAACGCGTCTGATCATATGTCTCAAAATCAGGAGCTCTAAATATGAACCCCCAAAAAGGAACCACCTAGAGGCTCATACCCTACCCCTTTTTTAGGATACCTAGTTTTATGGTTAGGATGTGTTATCTTAAAAAGTAGGCGCCCTAAAAAAGGGGTAGGGTATGAGCCTCCAGGTACTATGGAGTTTATGGGTAAGCCACAAGACAGAGGATGCTGCAACATAGTCCGCTCAGGACCCTCATGATCTATTTATCTGTGTGAATTTGGGTTTGGGCCCCAATAAGCCGAATCTACCTATAGGCTCCATTGTAGTTCCGGTTCACCAGAATCTCTATTAGAGGATCCTAACCATAAAACTGGTTAACCAAAGCAAGGAACTACAATGGAGACTATAGGTAGTCAGTATCCTTCACTCCTCAACTCTTCACATCAAACTCAACAGTCCGAACCCCAGCCACAGCCACGAAGATTACATAACTTCTCAATGTTGACATGTACCGATATAGTAGGTACTCAGGCCTCAGAGTACCCATATAGGGACGCCTTTAAGGCCTAAGTACCCTATATATGGGTGCATGGAGCCTTATAAAAAGGGTGTATGCATGCACGTAGGATTGTGGCTTGGCTGTCGCAGTACGCCAGTACCTGCCCACCAGCTGCCTTAAAAACGCTGCGCATGTCCTTCATGCTGAGCCCTGTGGCGACTGCGAACGTGGCCTCGGTGGGATGAATTCTTGCTTTTTGGGGGTTACCTTACAGGTTTCTAAATATGAACCACTAAACTACTAGGACTATGGGGCCTCAGAATAAAGACAAGGCTTCAGATTCAGTTACACCCTTGCCTTACAAGCAGCTCCTTCACAAAAGACTGCCCACAAGAAGGCACTACAATCCAGGATCTGTCTGGGTTTCCGGGTAGGAGGCGGTGAAGTTTACCCTATTAGGCTTCTGATCTCCCAAGCCTTAAATCCTAGTCTTGGTGTTTGAATGCTTGCTTCACGTTTGTAGCACGTTCTTGATTTGCTCAAGGCCTTACGGCTTAGGGGTGTCAACAGTGTTGGTTTACTTGGTAACACTGTCTAAGAGTTTACTAATTACGGTGTTGGTCCAGGTTTGTGAACTGAGCTCACAAACCGATAGCTATGGTAGGGTTTTGTGTGTGCAGCTGTGTGTCAAAGCCGCTTAGCTATAGGGAAAGCAGAATCTCTGCAAAGCCCGAAGCTGTCGAAGATTCCGAGCTCATAATCCCAAAGGGTCCAGAGGACCCCGTGATTGGGTACTCGGGTCCCTGGATGAGAGTTAATTATACAGGTTACTTAGGTGCTGAGTTCATAAGCCCCAAAAAGTGTACACTTTCAGCTGTGTATTGGGTAATATTATCCCGAAAAGTATAAAGTGTATCCACTCAGCTACTAAGGTTAAAATTTGGACAATATATGGTAATTAAGGTACTTGGAAACTTAGGGAACTAATTGGGTGATGGGGACCCGGAGACTCCAATATCCTTTATTTCAGGAATATACTTTAATTTACAGCAGAACCTACCATAATTTAAGGAATATTACAAAAAAGAGGGATATTGGAGTGTCTGCGTATGCAGGGAGTCGGCTTGGCCCCCCGGCGATCTGGTGAAAGCAGTTGACACTACCCAGCGCATCGATTTTGGCATGCCTGCGCTCATAAGGATCCCCAGAGGGTGGGGGGAGTGGGGGGAGGGGCCTTAATACCGATATTAGGGACCGAAAAGGCCTATGGCTGCACGGAGGAACGCTTACAAGAAGGTTTCTCACATCCATTGCTGGTGGTTGTATTCCCTAGGGCTCCAGTTACCTAAATATTAAGCTACTGAGGTAGGTTATATGTGTATATATGTATATATGTATATATGTACATATATATATATATATATGTTTCCGACAATAGGGGACCCTAATATGGTACCCTAAATAGTAGGACCCTTATTATAAGGACCCCCAAAATAAGGTACCCCTAATGTTCGGAAACTCCCATACGGTGAGAACATGTTGGTAGCTAACATTTTAGGTACCCGGAGCCGTCGATCCTCGGGCGTCGGTCTACCCAAAGGCCCAAAAGTAGTTCCTTTTTGGGGTTACCCCATAGGACCCTTTATATGAACCCCAAAAAGGAACTACTTTGGGGCCTTACGGTAGTTTAGCTTGGCTTCCTCAGGATTCCTCTGACAATCTGCGGAGCACACATGCAGATGGTATGCTGCCGATGTAGTAGATAGATATTCAAGCAGCATGGAGATATCAAGGACCCGTCTCTTGGGAAGCTGTGCGCAGAAAGCAAGTTCCAGAAATCTGAACCTTAATAGGGTTCAGGGTTGGTTCAGGGCTGTTCCGGGCGAAGTGATTTTGGGTTTGGCAGTTCAGTTAGTCGTGTTCAGGCTTTGGGTTTGGGGGTTTGTGGGGGTACGTTTTGCCTAAAGTACTCATTTTCGGAAACTCTAAACCCTTACAAAGCCCTTTTAAGGAACCCTTATAGTAACCCCTTAAAGGACCCCTAAGGTATCCCTAATTTTCGAACGCTTTGCATGCAGCTACAGCCCTGAGCCCGACCCTCTCGCCCCAGTCCACCCTTCAGGGACCGACCCCAACTTGGTAGGGTTCCATTAAAGGGATCTATGGGGTTATAGGGTTTAGGGATTAGGGTTTAGGGTTTGGAACTTGGAGGGTCGTTCTAGTCTCCATTGTAGTTCCTTTTTTGGTTAACCAGTTTTATGGTTAGGAACTTATAACAAAGATTTTGATTAACTAAGAAAAGGAACTACAATGGAGACTATAGGAAGTTATACGTAGGGTTACTAGTAAGGGTAACTATACTTCTAACCCAGATTAGGGGACTTATAACCCTACTTATGACTACCCCTGAACGCCGCAGAAAAGCGGAAAGGGCCTTCTTTAGGGATTCAGGTCCCAAAGGGTCCAAAGTACCTTTATAGTAGAATGTAGGGTTTCTATATTGGGGATCATTATTATGATTTGGGGAAGTATCCTTTAGAAGCTGCCCCCACCCTGTAATAGTGGTATCATAGGAATATAATAGGGCCCTAATATAATCCTTATAGTCACTATTACAGTGTGGGGGCAGCTTCTAAAGTATCCCCCATAATAGAACCTAGGACCCTTTGCGGGTTTTCTATGCGCTGCCTGGCCTGGCTGAGACGTCTGGCAGCCTTAGCTGATTCCTTGGCTCGGTGGGACATCACGGGACAGCCAGAAAGGAGGGTTTTAGGGTTTAGGGTTTAGGGTTCCCGACTCAGAAAAAAACAGCTTTGTGCCCAAAACCATAAGCCGCAAGTACATAACTAGACGACTTCCGTCAGTCAGCAGTCAGAAGTGGCCCTGGGACATCGGCTTAAAACTTAAGCACCTGAGTTATAGGATTTAGGCTTAGATGGAAGCTGATGCTTATAGTGATATGGTGCAGAGAGGCGATTTACCATAGTCTCTCTAGGGTTGGGGGCTCTGACTCAGCCATTCCTGGAAAACCTAAATACACATACTGACTGACCGACTGCCTGCCCGCCTGACTGAGTGACTGACTGACTGATTGTGGTGTCGTCCACTTGACAGACAATACTAATATTCTACACTCGCCACATCCATGCAACTACACCCCGACATCTCAAATCCCTGCTTCAAGGACCGGGTAGTAGTTCGCTTGTCCTCAACATGTCTTTGCACCCCAGCATCTTGCCGAAACTGACAGAGCTCTGAATACTGAGGCCGTTGAGGAAAGCTGTTGAGGAAGAGGGGGTCTACATTGCTTGTGCCTAAACCCTAAACCCTAAACCCTAAACCGTGGCTTTAGTTTCAGGACTTACCCTCGAGCGTAAAGATACCGTATACACTCTGAACCTTGCATAAGCCCTGCATCCTCGACCCGAAGCCCTAACATCAAAAGAAGCCTAAACCCTAATCCCAAACCTAAACCCAAACCCAAAAGAACCCGAAACCCTAAACCCTAAACCCTTGACCCAAACCCTAAACCCTAAACCCAAAAGAACACTAAACCCTAACATGAAAAGCCCCGTTGAAGCTAACAGTGCATCTCGAGATGCTCAGGCAAAGCGAACCAGGCGAGACCCCGGCACTCCTAGAACTTGTTGTTTAAGGTTTAAGGTTTAGGGTTGGACGCTTCTCCAAGAGCCCCTAAACCCTAAACCTAAACCCTAGACCTAAAACCTTGCGGGGTTGTCGAGGCTGAGGCGGCATCGTGTAAAGCCAGACTTGGGAGTTCAGAGTGTGGCTTTAGAAGCCCTCAAGTTTACGGGTTTAGGGTTTAGGGTCAGGGTTTAGGGTTTAAGGGTTTAGGGGCTGTGTCTTGGATGATGGAAACGATGCTTTCTTACAGGATTGCATGAAGAACACAAAGGCCTTGCTAATCAGAATAGGGTCTTGGGCAATGTTATGTTACAAGCACATAGTGAAAAATCTCGATAGTACTGATTACTGCTGTAGGTTGATCGGCTAATGTGTTCAGCTAGCGGCGCTAGCGTGTATTTAGTTGAATTGGGGCTCGGGGATTGCATGCATGTTCAGCAGCCCGCCTTGCAATGCTCAAAGCAGCCGAAAGCACAATATAGCAGGGTGTTTCACGCCCCCAGACCCTAAACCTCTAAACCGAATACGAGTCTTCAGAGCCTTGCGTGAGGGTTAGGGTAAAGCGTTGCGCTGGATGCCAGCACTTGAGGGAGTCTTGGCTCCAGAGTTGCACGTTTCGCCCCTTTTGAACGTTTAGGGCTTGTCAGGTTTACGGCTCGTGGCGGTTTAGCTTCTGGCTGACGGCGGTCTCCATAAAGTCTGATGTTCGCAAGAAGCTCAGGACAAGGATTGATCCCAGTGACACCCGGTGTCCTGCAGTATTTCGAAGGGCCCGATTCGGGCCCAGGCTTTACGGTTTAGGGTCCTTCTGGTGCGTTTGTGCTTGTCCTTCTGGTGCGTTTGTGCTCGTGTGTGTGTGTGTGTGTGTGTGTTAGATTGTTTGTTCGCGCGCGTGTTTGCTCGTATGTTTGGTTGGTCGCTCGTTCGTTCGTTCGTTTGCTCGTTTGTTTGCTTGTGTGGTTGCTTGATTGTTTTGTTTGTTGCTTCGTTCGTTCGTTCGCTTGTCTGTTTGTATGGTTGTTTTGGTTTGGTTGATTGTTTGTTTGCTTGCTTGCGTGTTTGTTTCTTTCGTTCGCTATGCCTGTCTTTGTTGTGTGTGTGTGCTTGTGTGCGTGCATGCATCTACGTAAGTATGTGCGGATGAAAGTATGGATGAATGTATGGATATCTGGAGGAAGTATGGATACATATATGTATGTATATACATATGGTTGTGTATGTATGCAGACTGTAGTTATGCCTCTGTGTATGTAGGTATGTTGCATGCCTGCATGTCTATGCATATAGATGTATAAGTTTGTATTTATGATGTGCATATATGTATATGTATATATATATACATATATATATATATACATATATATATATATGTATATACATCATATATACAAATTCAGCACTGTCTGCGAATGCGAAACAGAAGTCCTGCGCAGTCAGCCGGGCAATGGGATCTTTGTTCAGAAGGCCCTGCACCACCTCGTCATTTATGACTCTGTTGGCTCGTTCAATGTCCTCTGTCCAGCCTAAACTTAGACCCTCAACCCTCAAGCCTTCTGAACCTGAACTCACTACCATAAAACCTGAAACCCTACAGACAGTCCACTTCTTAATGGCAAATGAGCTGACAATAGCCAGAATTCCTTTCCCAGCAGCTATCTCGGACCGACAACTCCCACCAGCAAGGCCCCGAAATCCCAAGGCCTGAGCCAGGGTTTAGAGCTTAGGGCCTTAGGGTAAAGGCGACCTTACATTCGTACTTGGTCAGAGCAGTATACTGAGACAAAGTAACCCACTGAAACAAATGTTTGAGTGCAGGTAAGCAGTAACTCAGTACGTCCACAACCCTTATGGTGCTGGCAAACCCTGAATCCTACAAAACTCATCCTGTCGATCGTGACACTACCTCCGGGCTTTGGGTCCCGGATGCAAAGCGTGGGCGGCCGACCCCAAAGAAAGCCGATCTTCAGTTGGACCCTCCTTTACCGCAGCTCACCCGGAGGGGGAACCCCTCAATCCCGAACTGACGGATGCAAGACAGGGGTTTACAGTAGAAGCCAAAAAGTTGGAAACCCAATAGCCCCAATCCTTAAGAGTAATGTATAAGGAATCGCAGCACTCTGTGGCCTTAATCCGGTTTCCAACTTTACGGGGATTGCTGTAGGGTTTCGGGAGCTGAGTCGATACCACAAAGCAACAAGCCTAACCCTGGACCCTGTAATCTCCAAGCACAAACCCTCCAGCCCTTTTTTCAGCACGGGCTTTGGTTGTATTCCGGCAAGCTGGGCTCTCAAGGTCTTCATGACATACCAGCAAACTTGAAACTAACTCCTGTCAAGAAAAGCAACTATGTACTTCTTACAATCCACCTTGCAGCCATTAAGAACCCCTGCAAGTTCAAATCTCCAACGCGCAAGCCCCTACTTGGAGGTTCAGGGGTAGTTATAAGTAGGGTTATATATACCCTGCTCGTCTGCGCCCGTTTCGGAAACGGTTGCTGTAAAGCAACCGTTGTTTACTCTTAGGCGCCTGTTTCGGGGCTTAGGGCATGTCCACTTGGACACTATTCTCCGTGATCCGTGGTGCCCAGGACAGGACAGCGAGGGTATGGACTGCTTTCCATATTATTGACATTGTGGCCATCTGAACATCATGGTGGCGCGACTAGTGCAGAATCGAGGTTGCGAGACAAGCATACGAGTCAAAGAGAAACCGAGATCTGAGGCAGTAGGAAACAGCGCATTTGCAGCATCAGAGACATCAGCATCTCAGATCTTGCTTGACGCATGTGACATGTGCGAGGAAGCCTATATGTTAGCATGCTTCGCAATGGTGCCGTTGCTGGCCCGCTGCATCTTTGATTTGCAGTGGAGCCGTGACAGTTTCGCTGCTCCATGACGTGGGTATTCCGGCTGCAGTCATCCTTCCAAAGAAGAACCGGGATGATATGAATTAATCAGTCATTATCTAATTTCTCAATCCCCAGAAACACGGCATGAGAAGCCTTCTATGTAGCATAAAACACACTGTGATGTATGCCCAGGCAGAAAGCAGGGGCTTAGCCCATGAAGCAGGCCTTGGCGGAACGTGCCAAACTCGGCATTTTCTACTGTCTGCTCGCACCCCTCTAGCGTGTCCATTCTTCCTCCCGAAGAATGAAAATGATCTAATGAAACCCCGATGTCTGAGATGCTTTGGAAAAGTATGACATCTTCCCAGTCTTCGACCCCCAGATTCAGACAGGCACGGACGATTCGATGTTTCCACAGGCTGCTGGATCCTTCCGTGCCCGAGGTCATGCACACTGATTCCTGCAACCCTGTGCTGTGCTCTTCGTAGATCAGCATGGAGTTCTTCTTGTGCGACAGCTAAATAATATTAGAATAATAAATGCCTAGATCCACGTACAAGTGCAACTAGAAAGTGAAGCACGCCAGCATACATAAATGCTGAGTATATGAAGAGGCCAGCGAGGGTCTACCTGGTGATATCTTAGTTCCGTAGCAAATCATCCACGCTCAGCTTTGCGAGCATGCCCAAAGTTCCAATGGACGATACGCGGCTGCAGTGCCTCAAGGACCAAGCTTATTTGGGGAAGAGAGATCAACGGCAGGGGTCCACAAAAACCGCGACAGCAGCATTCAGGGTTAGTTTTGAACTGATCGGGATCACAGGATGGTATAGGTTATCTCAGCTGAGTCTGATGCTACCTAGAGAGTCGGTGCGAGCAGATTCACAGGATGATGATCACGATGACTAGGATCGTGATATGCCGGTACATGGTGCATATGATGGTACTGATCTGCAGCTAGAGATGCCTACTCTGCCTTCGGATGCTGTGAAGGACTTCTACTCGGAGATGAGTGCAGATGCAAGTCATGTGCATGCCCGGCGCCGGCAGCAACGGCATCGGTTGGGAATGGATGATCGAGATCCACGGGCCACTGGTCTACATAGCCACGGCATTCCCAAAGATCATATGGTAAGCAACGGCCATGAAGTGACAGTGTACAATATCCAATGCTTATCGTTGTTGAAAAACATACCCTGTGCATGGTATGTAAGGTATTTCGGATTGATATATTAATATATATATATATATATACAGACACTCTGGGCCTTGTCAAAACCACGGCCTACCCTATAAAGCTTACGGTGACGCTAAGCCGTCTATAGCGTAATCCGTTGACCGTCTTCCCCTCATATATATATATATATACATATATATATATATATATATATATATATACACGATATAAATATATATACAAAGTTGTGCATATATATATATATATGTGGTCTAAATTATATATATTATATATATATATATATGCATGCATTACACATATATCTATCTATCTACATGTATATATATATGTGATTACTGCAAATATTATATATATATATATGTATAATATATATATATATATATATATATAGAAAATTTATTTTTACTTATTATTGTTGAAAAACTAATTAATATAATATTGTTATGTTGTACATGACAGCTAATATGCACTAGAACAGCCACGACCCATACTATAACCCCTACATGTAGCCCATTGATTGATGCTATAACAATATGAAACAACAGTGACTTGAATCCAGAAACGCCTTCTTCAGAAACACCAACTTGTTTAATACTGAGATGCTACTCCGGAGGAACAAGGATGTATGTATAAATATATATATATATATATACTTTTTGGGTGGGCTCGTCTTGGACTTGGAAGCTTCACTCAGGTTCCGAGTTCTTTGGTGTAACAGTCGTTTAGGAGAGGCCATTGTTATACAAATAATTATGAGGCTCCTGGGGGTTCACGGTGTGGCTAGGGTTTCCTGCTTCAGGGTTGCAGAGTCCTTGGCTTTATTAGGGTCTCGGGCAATGTGTGCAAACAGATTGCAAGTGTTCGAAATGGAAAGAACCTAGTTCTAGAGGCCGATCCATGTTTGATCCACAGATCCAGTACCTGCCTCATTTTGAAGACCATGTGACTAGAATCGTTGCGCTACGATCAACAGTGCATTTCCTCCTCCCTCCCTGATTGCAGCTGGGCCGGCATGTTCTTGGTGCTCGGCACAGGTGCCCAAATTCTCGTTCTTGAACCTCACGACAAATAAGATCGGTAGTGTGGAGGTCGCTGGGTTGCAAAATCTGTGTGGCAATGCTCCATGTTCCAGACTGTCCCAGACTGCCAGGTCATCTCGAAATGTGTGCAGGTAAGTCCAGTACACAACGATGCCAGTCATGTCAAATTCTGAGGTGGAAGACAAGAATAACTTCGACTTCACACTGAACTACCTAGCCTGCTTCGCGACAAACCCACCTCAGCCGAAGGAAGTGCAGGACATTTGTTCTGTATGTAGGTTGCAAGATCGGGATGTCAGACTCATAGTTTTATGTGTTTCGGGGGCCTGTGGTTGTACGATCCCACATAAAGATGCAATTCATCATCGGACCCATCTATTGTGACACTCGTCCGTCGAGAGGAGGCACTCACGTTTGTGAGCGTCATCTACAACCTCAACCCCCAGTTCAAAGATTCTTGGGAACATGAGGCGCCCTTTGTGAGACTTGAGGACAAGACTCAGAAGACTGCTTCTAGGTGCGTAATACAGCTCAGAACATTGATTGATGTATCTAATTATGAGCATGTGCTGCAGGCATGGGCAAAAAAGGAGGCCGGGCTGCACCTCGCGATGAGAAGCTATGTGATGGAGAGGTTTCAAAGAAACCGTGGCACGAGGCAGGTATGTTCTGAAGGAACTCATTGTAATGTATCTGTGCATGTGCTCTACCTGTACACACTTGTTGAAATATGTGTTATTGTCATTTTTGCTATACTTGCTTAAGTTCACAATATATAAACATATATACGTTATGCTGTCTGATATGCTGTGCATATTGTATGTATAGACAGCTAGTATATATATATATATATATATATATATATATATAATATACATATATATATATATATAATAAATATACATATAATATATATATATATATATATATATATATATTATATTATATTATGTATATAAGATAAGACTTTAAATGCAGATCCAGTTTTTCACAGCTGTACTGTACTATGAGTCTGTAAAAAAATGTTAGTTTTATATAAATTAATATATGTATATATCAAATAATGTCATGTTTTTTATACTACTCCTCACTTGGATCCATGGATGCCAGGAAAAGCCATCTGCGAGCCCAGCAGCTGAAGGAAGTTGTGCGGAGATGCCTCCAGGTGTACACACATCTTTCTGTTGCCCTGTATGTGGACAAATGTACATATATATATATACATGTTTATATATATATATAATATATATATATATATATATATATACATAGTTCATATCTTATAATATGTGTCCGTATACATATATAGACATGACCATGTATATATATATATATATATATGTATATATATATATATATATATATATCACATATATGCATATATATATAT